ACGCGATGTTTTCAGCAGCATCTGTCCATTATCCTTTTGTGTTCTCTCAATCTTCAGCCAATTCCTTCTTGCGCTTTGTTGCAGCATCCATGATTGTCGCGTTGAGTCCGCTGCGCAACAGCAAACCCCAACAGCGCGCATCTAGCGGCGGCAGGCAGTACTAACATAATAACGTTCCCCTCCCCACGCGTGCACCGATGGAGGGGCGGAATGCCGGGAGCCCCGAGTAGAGATAAGGCGATTGCCGAAGGAGAACGGACTGCCGAAGGGCGTAGCGACGAACGGGTATGCGCGGACGGCCTTGTTGCGCGTAAGTGTCCGGGCACTGCGCGGCCTGCCCCGCGCGCGGCAGCGGTGAGTGGGTGGGAGCGGGAGATGGGTGATAGAGGTGTGTGGAGGTGTTGTTCTGGTGGGGAAGACGGGCGGACCGGCTGCGTCGGGAGCTATGAGCCGGTGTCGGCAGGCACGGCGGGGTGAAGGGGGCGGATGGAGTTCTAGGTTCGATGGAACTTAGGGTCGGTGAGCTGTACGGGGTGCGTATCGCATCGTGTCTCGTATCGGCAGGGAGTTAGGTGGAGCTCGACATGGGGTGCACTCTTGAGACGCGAGTTCTCATACCAGGACAGCCGCGCCCGCCACCGCCAACGCCGACAGCGGCTTGTAGACCCGGAATATGGCGTTTTCTTAAATTTCGACCAATTTTTTTACCATTGAATAATCTGTATGGAACGCATTTCTCGCGTTCATTTTATTAAGCGCAGAATGAAAATAAATGTTTGGGATGCTTTTTGTTTCAATCTCGCCTCTTGAGTCACTAATATTCACAAGCATGACCAGCCTCATGTTTTGAAATATCTTGCATACTGTTGTGTGTTGCTGTTAGATCGAATATAGATAAACTGAAGGGACGAAAACGTCTAAGTGGATAAAAATTGGATGCAATTGATATTGTAAACATCAAATTACGACCGTATGTTAGGCATTACTATTGTTCTGTCGCAATGACAAGAAACGTTTTGACGATGCCAAATTAATCTTCTAAAGGTTTTTCTCATGAGGTCTAATTAACCTGACGAAACGTTACAAAAAATGATTCCATTGTAGAATATTTCCAATGTAAATGTAGAAAAAATATTCCAATGAAGAATTCCAAAAACAATGAAAATTGGGTGAGACTTCTCTCTTTTTGATCGAGACACGTAACATATTAGACTTGCGAAAAGAATCAAACGGAAGATTAAATTTTGTGAATAAGGCTAGAAAAACACCGCATACTTTTAGCAAATTTAGCAAATATGCGTGTTATCAAACCCGAATTTCCTTGTCCACGTTAGTATGTTAACAGGACTAATGTCCATAGCAGTTGATGAGCCTGGAAACGTTAACCAATCAACCGAAGCGTCTACATTACTCTGTAACTAAAATATTTTTACGCAATCCCTGCAGCAGGGCATGGGGAGTCCGCAAAATGCCCGAGCTGCGTCAGCTTTACGACTGCGGGAGGTTTGGCACGTCGTATTGAAATCGCAATATCTGTTGCGCTTCTATGAGTTTTAGTTATGAGTTCCTAAATTCACTCTTGAAAATCTAGCAAACGAAACCAGCAGAAAAAGTAAACTCTGAATCTGAAACATATCTGTTACATAAACAGGTCTGTATTAAGACAATAGTAGAACATACGCTTACATATTATTTGTAACAACAAATGTATAATGTACTAGCTCAACTCGCGCAGAACTTTGCATTTATGAACTTCGTTGCATGTTTTTTCGCGTCCATCAACGTGGTATGCCACTTCGAAATTGTTTCTTTGACCCAACACATGTCTGCACGTGCTTTCAACGTGCCTAAGCTTTCGTCCCAGCTGGAATTCAAATGGAAGCGGTCAGGTTTACGAGCTTCACGTAATACCCGCCACATGATCCGACAGTTTGTTTCAGTCACAGACGCATAACTATTGGTGCTATAACAAAACTTTTCGTATTTTTAAACAATTATACATATAATATAGCAGTTTGTATTCTATTAATCCTTTACGGATTTCGTGAAAATTCTTCATTGAAGATTCGAAAAAAATACATCGCGTTAATTTTCCCAAATTCAAAAGTTGTAAGGAAAATTTTATTCGTGCCGCACGATTCAGTGCAATATGTTCTATGATTACAAAAAATGTAACGCAAAACTTTTGAGCGGTTGTTGAGAAAATCGTCACACTGCTTCATGATCTCTTTCCGATTGAGATTTGGAATGTAGTTTGACTGTACATCCGTAGACCTCTCTATCTCGGAACTGCGTGAAAAGTTTGTCGCATGAAGTGTACTCCCTCTGACCACGACCAGGAAAGTTTACTGGCCTGTGCAGACACCTGGCTTACTGTTTACACACCAGTTAAAGGGGTTTCCGCCTGGGGACCAGCTCTAAGGGCCGCAGCTCCAGCCGCGCGATGGCTAATCATGTAAGCTTTAGGAAAAAATACACACTTATATGTTTACGTACCATACACGGTACACTTCGACTACTAGAAAACATTCAGTAATGTCCCTCTCCGATTTCAATGAATTTTGAATGTTTTGCAGGAGATGATATATGACACGTGTTCTTTTTATTTTCAGACACATAAACGTAGAATATACTGAAATGGGGGGGGGGGGCTAGCCAAATTGTGACTTGAGCAGTAAATCAACATCGGGTGTGAATTCGTTCTCTTTGCTACTTATTCGTGCCTTGGTACTGATATTCTACTTTGTAACACTGGTGTCTCAAAGTCGAGGGCAGGCCTGCCGCTCTTTCTATGACACTGAATTGTTAAAATGCGTTTAACTTTAACTTTACTTAAATATTTTCTCAGGCTAGGAGCCATTTGCTTGGATTTCAAGGTGGTAATTTAAATAATTGATTTAGACTCATAAAAAGGTAATTTACTCTACGAAGTTGAATTCGGATTCAGATTCGGTCCGAAAGTCGCAATGCACATGATTTCTTATCTATTATCATCTACAACAAACTACACAATTTCTACCCTTCTTTTCTTCTCTCTTGTAATTGGAGTGCACAAAATGTGTTCCGCTTCCTTCACCGATGATGCCGCCGGTACCTGGGGCGTCGCCCTCGTAGGGTGGAAGGCTGCGTCCCTCGACCGCCCTCAGCCGCCCGCTACCATTGACCCGCTCGCACGCGCGAAGGGCGGCCCTTTGGTCCGAAACCACCGCCTCGCTGGTTGTCATCAGCTCCCGGCCGCCGTCTCGCGTAATTTCGACTACGTCGTCGTCGTTAATCTCGACATCTCCTTTATACGCGTAGTAATTACTGCCGAGGTAATTCCTCAGAGTCCAATATGCAGCCACTTATATAGGAGAGCAATGTGCTCGACTTCTACAAGCTCCCGAATTCAATATAATCTCGGCGTGTTTTGCTCTCTCGCGAGCCTAACACACTCGTAGGGTTATTGCATCTATTCTCGATCTCCTCGCAATTTCGTCTGCTCGCGCTCGCCCCGAGACTCCTTCTTCTGTTTCCGCCCCCGCTCCCTACACCGCGGAGCCGTTTCTTCCCCTCTCCTTGGGCTCGACGAAACTCTGCCCTACTTCTCGTTTATCCAATAACTATTTCTTTTCAATTTGAATTTGTCCCGGAATTTTTCATTAGTTGTAAGGGTTTAGGTCAGCGGGCCAAGCCACATCCGGCTCCGGGAGCTCGACCATGAACACGTGCAACAGATAGATTCCCCGGGAGGGCCATCGTCTACAGCAGTCGCCGTTGTTCCTGCTGAATTGATCGGTTTATTGGGCGCTCGGCCGGTCCGCACGCTGGCCTCGTTACGCCCCTCTGTCCGAAATGTCGAATTAGTGAATCGATGATGAGGGCGTCGCGCCGGGCCGAGCCTCATAATTCAGTAGCCGTCTCAACAGCTGCCATTGTTTACGGATCCCCGCGCCCGGGCCGCCCTGCGCCCCCGCACGCCCTCTCGCGTGGGCCGTGAAAATTCCAACACGGGGCGCCCCGCTTTCGGCCCACGCAGCTGTCCGGGGCTCAATTCGACGCCGAAGAAAACCTCTGGTCGTCCACCCTTCCGCTCGCCCTAGAATCGCTCTTTGTACTTAATTTATTTTTTATTATTTTATTCAAGTATGTCAATGATCACAATACAAAGTATTGTAATACAGAGAGTCAGAGAAAGGTAAAAGAAAAAAGTATTGTAACACAGTTTAATCCTTTTCTATATGAAAATTATATGAATCGAAAACGAAATATTGAATTATATTGCACAATATCACAGACAAGGCTATACAGTAATGCCTTTTCGTATCAAATACGAGAGTTCTATCTGATTCAGAAACGTCATTGAATCATGCAGTGAAATGAATTCAAATTTAGAGTACATCTCAGAGACTCTTAGACTCAATTCTAAAAGTTAACTGTAAAATATTGAACAATTGTATAATTCCTATTATTAACGCACCGCTCGCGTTAGGAAGGCGCAGCAGACTGCGGAGCCCGTTCCCAATGCAGGAACCACCGTTGTGCGGACACGCTCAACGGCGGCTCCTCATTGCTCAGGGAAGACCGAATTGTACACCGAATAGAAAATAAAAAATTGTGCTGTTGGGATCAGACAATGATCATTTTTTGCACTAGTTCGTTTATATTAGAGATATCAGATTGTTTTTTACATTGAAAAAAACACTATGCAAAAAGTATTGTAGATAAAAACGCTAGTTTTTCGGTATTATATAAGATATCAATAACATGTTAATTAGATGTGAGAAAATACTAACGATAAGAAATAACCAAACGACAAGAAAATAATGAACAACAAATTATTTATGCATTGAATAAAGAACGAAAGAGAAATTGAGGAAATTCAAAATAGCGGATGGAGTGTTTTCCGGTGATACATGTGTAAAGACTACTTCTTCGTAAGTCCAACACTTATAAAAATCGTCAGTTTATTGTGGCATCGAAGGTAGCGCATAGTTATTGTGGAGTAGTTCTACTTGTTAAAAATTATATTTATTTTTATTGTAGTTACTTCGATTATAATAAAAGTAAAAATAATTATTTACATTAATTTTACCAAAACTTACCACGTAAGACGTTTGCAGAATTTCTTTTTATTCGCTTGGTCAATGTACTGCATTCTTTGACGTTTATCCCGCACGTTGCGGCGAGCGCTCGGCGCACAAGCTTCAGGGGGCAAGAAGTTACTATCATCTATTGTAAAGCCTATTGACGTCAGAGCCCCGTAGCATGAAGTAGTAACTATTTGTTTCACAATTTGGTGATACTCGTGTATTTTAACCATCGTATTTTCCACTTTTCCTAGCTTTAAAAAAATATCAAAGTTGTAAACGTAGCGTGATTGTTTGTACATTCAATTCCTTCAAAACTAAGAAATATACCTGAATTTCCATGTAATCAAAAATCGCAAAATGTTCTTCTTTTTTCATGTTTATGAAGGAAACGTTGTCCATTGTGCAACACATTGCTTGAATATCCATAAGAGATACTCTGATTTCTTTGTTTAATATTAACAGTTCTTCCAATAGTATATTTCGAGCAAGGCACATTTTAGCCCATTTTACAGCTTTTCTCCATATCCAGAATGATTTCCACATACGAAACTGACGAAAAGCTGGGATCTATAAAATGCAGTTTGCTAGAAGTTGTAAATCTCTTTAATTGTTTTAAATATTCTCTTATCGTAATTATACTTACGCGAATAACATCGAGATACATATCATATTCTTCTTTCCACTCTTCTAAAGTAGTATACATCACTCCATCAGGATGATATTGGGAGACTCCAGTTCGACTCATAGTCATGTAATTGTAGCTCTCTATGTCGTCAAAAGTGACAATTCTAAAATAAAATCATAGTAGAAAGTGCCAGTTTAATGTTTAGATTTGTTACAAATGTGATGTGTATCTCGCGTCTTAGAGTATAGATATTGAAGCATACATGAGAAGTCATATATTGTCAGATGATGAAACTCTGATGTGATGATACTCTGCATGTGATGAATGCTGATCTTCTAGTTAGTTCTGACACAACAGTTCATACATGCTTGCATAATTTGTAACGGTTACGTAATATTATGTAATATGACGTACTGAAACTCGTTCCCTGCTGGTTTTTCAACAATCCCGTGTGACCTACTGGCTATTCAACTAGAGGAACTACAACTTTTTCGCATTATTCCTAACTAATCCGCTGTATCATATTACTACACAAACTTGCAAAACTGTTTTCAACCAGCAATTTTCTTCCGCGCCGCGACTCGAACTCAGGTTCTCGGAGTTAACTCTCCTCTACGCAATAGAAACGGCGTACAGGTCGAACTCGGTCCGGCGCTTAAAAATTTAATTAATGACATCAAATACCGATTAAATGAAGAAGGTGATTGACATTTGCGAGTGGAGGGGAGCGACCACTGAGCCTTCCCGGGACACCAAAAAAAAAACTCTTGAAAAATATACTTATAAAAGTAACCAAATTATTTATTCACTTTGGGTAAAGCAGCAGCTTGTTCTGAAGCGACTACATATTACGTTCTTCCCTAAATGAAATAAATATTACGACCTACACTACATTATAACACTTATTTACACGTAATTACTCTAATTTAGATGGTGATAGGAAATAAACTTCATGTCTGAGACAGTGTCACTTTCATTGTCACATGTTGTCTGTAGGACTACCACTCGAGCTATTTGAATTCAATTGAAATTAATAATTATTTCATCAACGTCGCTTCCTATCATAACTTCTTTTTCCCAAAAATCTATTATTACTTTCTTGGTATGTTTCACGATACATGTTCGTGAGGTAGGGAAGGTATGATGGTCCGCAGGACAGTATGATGGTTCGCAGCAGACATGTTCCCCGTTCGTCGGTAGTAAATCAGAGAACTGACGACACGTTTTGACTGAGTGGCAGCTTCCATGAACACGAAAGAATGGTCCATTCGTCACACAGAACCGTCAATCACTAACCTCCATTAATCGGACCTTAGCACAATACTTTTTACCGTTCTCTGTACACACGAGGAAATAAATTAATGAAAAAATTTGGACATCTCAGGAAGAAACGGTGGTCATTTTCGAATTCGGCTCACACAAAAGTTTAAGAATCAGACAACATTATGAAAACAGCTTTTTTGCAGACCTGTGTAAAGTAAAACCCAACATGTTACAGCAATGCCTCTCTATCCGTATGTCTGCCGTCCGTCGTCCCGTCCGTCGTTCCGTCCGTCCGTTGTTCCGTCCGTCCGACCGCCGTTCCGTTCGTCCGTCATTCCGTCCGTCTGCCGTTCCGTCCGTCTTCCGGTCCCGCCTTCCGTAATTCCGTCCGTCCGTCCATAGTTCCGTCCGTTCATAGTTCCGTCCGTCCATAAGGTCTCTCATTAACGTCATGTATTTTATTTAAATATTTGAGTAGTTTTTTAATAATAATATACAGTCAAATATGCGCAATACTTTTAAAAATATAAAAAGCAAGAATTTCACAAAATCTACTCCAAATGTGTCTTCAAAATTTTGATAGGGATAGGGCTAAATGTACTGCATAAGATGAAATTAATAACATTTCGCTCTATTCTTATGTTTGTTTGTTTTTCAAAAATTACACAAATGAAATGTTTCGATTTTGCTCCCACGTCTTTAATATTTATATTAGTGGCGATTTGTTCGTATTGTTGCATTTACATACGACTCAAAAAGTACATACGCTTCAAATGATATTTTATAATGTTTCACGAAAACGTAAAAGTTTGCTGAGTCAATGAGTTCAAATTTCCGCATTTTTAGAAACATTCAAACTTCATTGTCTCAAAAACGGCTTCAAATTCTTTCTTTAAAGTTCTCGTGCGGATAGTGCTAATTGCTGTTTGAATTGACATATAATTAATGCAGAATTGTTTTGTTTTTAAAGAAAGACGCAAATGTAATATTTTATAAATATCTCTCACACCATTAATAAATTTATTTTCTGCAATTTGTACACATTACGTTTGTGAATAAAAATGCTTCAAATAGCTTCCAATATTTTTGTCGAAAACTCAAAAGTTTTCCGTGAAAAAGAGCTTCAAATTTCACATTTGCATAAACACTTACACGCCATTTTCTTTAAAAAAAAGCTTCAAATTTTTCAACGAAAATTGCCTTATAGTGCTAGGTTTTACTCTTCTATAAGATTCTGAAAGTAATATTTTGTGCTCCACCGTTCGTAAACCTAAAAATTAAGAATTTTTTTCAAAAAATTTACTTCGGGCGGCGATAGTTGGGAGCTGGGAAGAGTGTGTCAAGACCGAAACTGTAGCCGAGACCAAAGGTATTAAAAAAGTAACTTGCATGAAAACGCTTGCACCATACATTAGCTAGTTTTACTTTCTCGTCCCTAGGAAATACTTCATAAGATGAGATAGTTAAGAAATCGATCGCCGGATAACGGCGACTTTTTTTAAGTTTACGGTGTAGGCTCAAAAAGGCCTAGGACATTTTCAAAATTTTCTCAAAAGTGACTTCAACTTCTTTCCATAAACAGTTTGCTCGATTATAGCAATATCTCGTAAAACGAAAATGTAGAGCCAATGTTCAGTAAACATCTGAATTTTGGAAATGACATTGTCAAAACGTTCCTTCATCTTTTGCAAATTTACAAAAAATCTACTTTCCGAAATGAAATTAAAGGAAGTGGTCGAAATAAAAAGTTAACATTTGAAATTTTCGAAAATTGAGAGGTCTCAATGAAAATTGGACCTTCTCCGTTATTTTAAGTGTATATTGGTGTTATCTAGCAAAAAAATTAAAGCCATTTTTGAGATGAATTTCTTTGGGGCTTTATGTAATACACCCCAATAATTAAAATATCCTATTCAAATTCGAGGGGCCTTGACATCCACCCGATCAACTGGGGAATATTCACCGGCCTAGGTGGTTCAGGGTATCTATTGATGTTACTACACCGATTCCATTTCGTTGATGTCAGTGCCTCTGGCAGGGAGGTCCTATGGTTCGAGATCGGCAGCGGCAGGATTTTCGACACCGTCTACATAGCTAGGTCGAATTCAGCTGCTGTCTAATGAGTATTCCAGCGGCTGGCTACTTTGATCGGTAGTTTTCCGCGGTTCCTCCGATCAACGCCAGGCGAATGCCGGAGCAGTGCCCTAACAAACAGGCCAAGGACCGCGCGCTATCTTTCCTCCTCTTCCTTGACCGATCCTCGCCCCTTACTTACATTACTTACTTACATTCACTAAACTACCATACATGTCGGGAGACCGGTCGGAAGCTTAGAGCTTGTCCCGGCTGGTACGGCGGCGGCTGGTGGGAGATACCTAGTTGAGGAAATCCCTTGGTTGAGGGAATAGCCGACCGGACGGTCATTGTCGGATCTTAGTCGGATCCTTCGGGGGAATATCACCGTCCCCTCCCGAGGGGAAAACATACTCTATACGTACGGGACTAACGACAGTAATTGACACGCCAGGAATCATTAATTAATCAATCAATCGGGGAATATTATTTTGGGTGAAAAGTCTTTAACAGTTTAGTTCTTATATAATCATAAATGAGCGAAAGGTCTGACAGACGTTTTTGAAAAAGACCACTATTTTTGCAACAGATATCCTAATAAATGCATTTCCTTGAAAAACTCGACATCCATTTTTTTCGGGAGGGGGGCATGATTACAATTTATATATA